CCATTTCGATGTGTTTGGTTGACAGTGTCAAGAAAGAAAGTAACATCATATTGGAATTTGCAGTTGCTGAAAAATGCTTTGGCTTCTCGAATGGCGAAGACTGCATCTCCATTTGAACAACTTCGTCGGGGACTGCACCAGGTCAGTAGCCATTTTTGTCATAATTAAATCAAAACTTGTTTATTTTTCTTCTTCATTCACATGATTTTGATTAGTTAATAATTTGATCGTATCTACTTGTACGACTTGTAATTCGCAATCTTAGACAGGGTTGCGAGATGTCGATGAAAGAGCTGGACGGCCTGTTGTCTCTCCTTGAAGAGAAGAAGAGAAAAATGGAGCAGCAAGAATCTGAGATAAGCATGGAGATCATGCTTGGCTTCTTACATTGCCTGAAAAAGCAAAAGTTTGAAGAGCTCAATGAGGTCCAAATTAATATATATGTATAAACTTTATGACATGAGTTTAATTTTCTTTTTCGCATTCTTTTGTTTTGGCTCTGTACTTTGATTATGATGCTCTGTTTTCCTCTGCAGATAAAGGCCGATCTTCAGTACATCAAGGAGGACATAACTGCGGTTGAGAGACGGAGACTAGAGCTGTGCAGCTGGGAACAGGAGAGCTCCATAAAGCTGAAAATGCTTGCTCCTGGTGATCAGCAGCAGCACAGCAATGGCATTGTCTGTAGCACGCATCACGTGCAAGCTCAAATGAGTAGTAACGATTTACAGAACAAAATATCTGATGTAAAGGCTCAAGCAATCTCCAAGGCACTCCAACTAAATAATGATTATGGCAGCAGCTCTGATATGCAGTGTGTGACAACACCAGGTGTAGCATCACTAGCAAGAAAAAGGCGAGTCCATTCACAGGTTAGTGATCCTGCAAATTGATCTGAGGAGGCTACCAACAAAACTTCCCAGATTCTGAACTATTGGACTTCTATTTTTCCTTGCAACAGTTCAATCACCTACAAGAGTGCTACTTGCAAAAGCGACGAAATTGGTACAGACAGGAAGAAAGGGGCGCAAACACTATGAATATAGAAGGTTATAATCCAGGCCTTGAAGATTTTCAATCTGTGTTTACAAGCTTTACACAATACAGGTACAAACTTCTCAAGTATCAATTTCAAGTTTCTTCTAGGAAATCCTATCCTGTTATAGTTACTAATGCAATTTTTGGTTGCTTGAAACAGTCGAATGAGGGTCATTGCTGAACTGAGGCATGGTGATCTTTTTCACTCTGCCAATATTGTGTCCAGGTGATTTAAAATGTCATCCCTCGTGCACTTTTTTCAGGACAAATTGGAAATGGTTCTCATTTCGTACAATTTTGTTAGCCCTTTCATCAGCGATTTGCTACCCTGTAACCATCATTGGTTGTACACCTGTAGGCTGTATCTACTAAATTTAGGCAAATTATCATCATGGTCCATTGTTTAGTTAGGTCGTTTGGTTACTGCAACATGTGATCTGTGCTTGAAAATTTATCTTTAGCTGATCTTGGTAATGTATCGTGATATTTGAGGTTCCCATTACATTTGTTGCAGTATAGAATTTGATCGTGATGATGAACTGTTTGCTACTGCTGGAGTTTCACGGTGCATAAAAGTTTTTGAATTTTCCTCGGTAAGCATTGGACAGACGCTTTAGTACCTTTATAAAGTCTGTTACTTTTAGTTTTTTATTAAGCAGGAATAATGTTCCAGGGCCGAAGTTGAGCAATGACTCCATATATTGCTTCCAAGTGCTACTGGTGCATCTTTATACTTCTTCAGTGCACTAATCTAGTTGATATCTAAAAGTTGTATGTTATGGTAAAATATGAAAGGGATGCCATTTTTGATTTTTTATATTACTTTTTGGTAATAGTTGTTTTTCTGCATAAGACAATGCTTTCGCAGATATACCTGTCGCCTTTGGGTTGTGCCTGAACACCTCAGTCTCATGGAATTTTTTTTTTTCTTTATTTGTTCATAGTTAATAAGTTCTATTGTGATTACTTCCAGGTGGTTAATGAACCAGCAGATATCCACTGTCCTATCGTAGAGATATCCGCACGATCCAAACTTAGTTGCTTGAGCTGGAATAAGTACACTAAAACCCATATTGCTAGTAGCGACTATGAGGGGATAGTAACTGTTTGGGATGTAACTACTCATCAGGTAGTGAAATCTTTTCTTTTCATTAAAATAGTGCTAATCTGCACCCCTATGCTGTCATAATTTTGTCACTGCCTCAACCCATTTGTTCACATCCAGTTATTTAACCAGACTCTTTTCTTACCAGAGTGTGATGGAATATGAGGAGCATGAAAAGCGTACTTGGAGTGTTGATTTTTCGTCTATTGATCCTTCAATGCTTGTATCCGGAAGTGATGACTGCAAGGTAATTGGACATGAATTTTAGCTCATATCTTAGGGGTTTGTGAGCTGTATCTTGTTAAGTGACCTAAAAAGTAACTAGTTGTAGTTATAGGCTTGGAGTATTTGAAGTAGCATCAAGAAGTTTGGCTAGCGATGTATAAATAGAAAGTAAGAAATGCATGGCCTTCATGATGCCTGGAAGGCCTATGCATAGGGTCTCTGTAAAAAATGAACGGTGAAGATCTTTAGCTTATTATATTGTAAGGAAGCATTTCATTTTCAATAGAAACTCATAATGCGATTATGTTTCTACTTTCCAGAAGCTAAAGTAATTCATATTTTCTGGAAAATCTGTCCACACTGCGACATTTTGATCCTCCTGCCAACCCTATATGAAATTCTCATGTGGGATAATTTTTGCTGGTCGAATTGTTTTCCAACTTCTAGGAAATGATACACTTGCTAGGGATGTATTAGATGGTCTTATGTTTATATAAGTGCTCTCAGCATGCATTTTTTATGCTAAACAGGTCAAAATTTGGTGCACAAAGCAAGAAGAAAGTGTTCTTAACATCAACATGAAGGCAAATATTTGTTCTGTCAAGTATAATCCTGGATCCAGCTTTTATGTGGCAGTATGTCTCTGTTCTTAAGATTAAAATGAGAACATAGCTTGTTTAATTCTCCTATCCAGAAGAATGCAAAAAATTTATACGTACACCATATTTTGAAAGTTCAGTGTCGATTCCTTTTTTTCATGCCAATTAGTGATTAAACAAAACTCGTATATGTATAGCCTTTCCCTGAGCCCAATGTGATTGAAAACATATCATTTAATCAAATTAGGACACAGAGCTTGGTATAATGCACTTGGTAATTTTGCAGGTTGGCTCTGCAGATCATCACATTCATTATTATGACCTGAGAAATATCAGCCAACCACTGCATGTCTTTAGTGGGCATAGGAAAGCTGTTTCATATGTGAAATTCTTGTCTAACAATGAACTTGCTTCTGCATCCACTGACAGCACATTGCGATTGTGGGATGTAAAGGAAAACTTGCCTGTGAGTCATCTTGCTTATGGGACTTTTGATTTCTAATTTCCAAACAGAGTTTGAGCTAATTCTTTGTTTTCACAATGACAGTTGTGCACGTATAGAGGCCACATGAATGAGAAGAATTTTGTGGGTCTCGCTGTAAATAACGAATATATTGCTTGCGGCAGCGAGACAAATGAAGTGTTCGTTTACCATAAGGTTAAGTTGACAAACAAGAAAATGATGTGGTAGCTAAGTTGACATGCCAAAATTGAACCCCCACCAAAATTACAATGTTTACATTGTATATAAGGTACTTGGCACCAACAGTAGTTGATTCAGTTTTGGTGTCTACTTGCAGGCAATCTCGAAACCTATGGCTTGGCATGGCTCTTCAGATTTAGGCGAGAATGACGACAACGCAGGATCATTCTTTATCAGTGCTGTGTGTTGGAAGAGGGATAGCCCAATGCTATTGACTGCAAACAGTCGAGGAACAATTAAAGTGCTTCTACTTGCAGCCTGAGACTATCGGTAATCAAGTAAAAATTTCTTTTAAGGTATCGCCAACACAAAGATATACATCAATTTTATCGATGCTAAACAAAGATGTGTGTCTTTGTATTGAATTCAAACCTGGTATTTTGTTTCTTGTGTTGCAATAGTTGAATTAAAACGTTCGAAAGTTTTAATGATGGTTCTCTTCTTTCCTTTGAACGTACGAAAGAACAAGTGAAGGGCATACACCAAAATAAAGGGAATTTCCTTAGCGAAAATGGGGTCAATTGGAACAGTTGATGAAAAGAAGGATGCAAATGAATGAGGGAGGGACAGAGGGACGGCCTTCTGTTCTTGTGCCGCACCCCCACATAGAGGCAAGGTTGTGTCCGTTTCTAAGGGTTATTTACGCTAACACCCTCATGAGGTTTCTTGTGTTTTCACAAAACCCACTAAGGTTTCAAAAATTACACGAATACCCCTGAGGTTTTAGTTTATTTTCACAAAACCCCTTTTTGTTGATTATTTGTCCAAAAATTGATGATTTCATTTGAAAAAAAAAAAACAAACTTATGCAAATTACAAAATTAACCTCAATGAAGTATATGCAATCTAATTTCAAAAGCCAACTTCGTATCAGTAGAATTTTGTTGTTCTTGTATAAAATCATCAATCTTTGGATGAAAAATCAACAAAAATGAGTTTTGTGAAAACAATTTAAAACCTCAGGAGGTGTTCGCATAATTTCTAAAACCTCAAGGAGTTTTGTGAAAAATTCGACAACCTTAAGGGGTGTTAGTGTAAATAACTCTATATAACCAAATGCAACACCCTTCTAAAAAAGCGAAACGGTTGATCATAAAGTTTTGCTACCGCCAAAGAAATAAAAGATGCCAATCAATATTGTAACAACTGAAATAAGTTGGACATAAAATAAAGGAATTATAAAAGTAAATTAGCCAGTCATAAAGGAAATTCATTAAATAAAAAGCTTCTTTGTAACGGGGATTTCTTTAGAAAAAGGCAAAGAAAGATATCTTCATCCATCTTTTGGATTCAAACTGGGCTTCTTATTTTTTGTTTGCATGTTTCAAATGAAAAAAAGGATCGACATGAGACCATGAAATTTGTAACGAATAATTTATGTGAATGCAAATTTGTTAGGTACCAAGCCCAGTCCAACCCAACCCCAAGTCAGCAGTCTATTTCTTCCCCGTAGGCTTGCCAGCACTGCGCATCTTCTACAAGATCCTCTCTCTCTTTCTCTCTCCTACAATCCTATTCCCTTTTCGCTCCTTCTATGTACAAATAGCAGCACTCATATATAAATAAATAGAGATCCTCCTCCTCCCTATAGATTCCCAGAATCACGCTCTCTCTCTCTCTCTGAGATACCAGAAACGAACCCAGAAAAGAAAAAAATTATAAAGGAAAGAAAAAAACTTTCTTTCTGCTTCCCTGTTTTTTTGGCGCGAAAAAAAAGGAGGCAGCAATGAAAATAGCCAATGGGGATCGGGAGGTGTGCGTGGCCTCGCCTGCGGCGAAGGCTCCGTCGGTCGGAGATGAGAAAGAGAGGGAGGCAGACGCATTCGTGCCACCTCTAAACTTTGCGATGGTCGACAATGGCGTGTTTAGGTCCGGTTTCCCTCATTCTGCCAATTTCAGCTTTTTGAAATCCCTAGGTCTACGTTCCGTTATGTAAGTCAAATCCAGCAATGTTTTTGTAAATTTAATTTATTCCTAGTTTCTTCTTTTTCTGGGCACTTCAAATTTGACTTCAGTTTATCAGAGTTCGGTAATTTTGACTAACTCTTTGGTTTGGGTTCGTGCGTTTGCGTTAGATACTTGTGCCCGGAGCCATATCCGGAGGAGAACGAAGAGTTTTTGAAAGCAAATGGGATTAGGCTTTTCCAGTTTGGGATGGATGGCTCTCAGGTTTCCTCTTCTTTTTGCCTTATGTTGCAATAATGGTATTTTGACATAATATCTTGAGATTAGACAATAAGATGATACTGATGCAAACTTTGTCATCTCTACGTTATAATTCCTGCTATAACCGTGTGTGTTTATCAATTTGGGTGCTCTTCTGTAGAAAAATGATTATGCAGAAGAGTTGAACCTCCGGGACAAAAGCTTGAATTTATTAGAAATCACATGAGGGCTTGGGGAAAAGAAAAAGACTATTTGATTGATGATTTCAGATAAAATTTGTTTTTGGAGTGAAAGAGTTTCTGGTTTGAGTTCATGAGTTTTTAAAATAATTAACATCCGTCACCGCTTGTTGAGAAAAAGAGACATGGCAAATTGCGTGTCAAAATCACTTCACTTCATCAGCTTAAGTGCAAGTCTGATGAATTTTTGGGTAAGAGATGCATCACCATGAGCCTATGGCCTTGCTATATCCCATTCCCAATTTGCTGGTGCAAGCCTCGTGTCCGTTGTCTTTTTTCCCACTACAATGCCCCTTTCTGCTAAGCCTCCGCTTTGCATGAAATATATAATTGAATGGAACGACAAGATAAACATATTGACAATCCTAATAGGCAGTTGGATTTTATATTTACTTGTTACTGACGTATGTTCCATGTTTGAAAACAGCCGTGCACCTCTAACCTCAGGTTGTTTTTGCTTGCCTTGTGCTTTAACGGTTTACCTTAACTCTTTCAGTTACTAGATATGGTTTTGTCAGCTGGCAGTAAGTGTAGATTTCATTTGCCTATTGTTCTCTACTCTGGTTTTGTCTGCAGTACCGATTATCTCACTTTGATCGTTGTACTAACCCCTGCATAATCTAAGATTCTTCTGAGCTCACTCATGTTTGTAGCTAGGGACTTTTCTTCTTTGAGCTAGTTATGATTGCTATCAGTTGATGTTTTCACTCATGTGGTGTGCAACATATTTGCAAATGGATGCTGGACGACAGGAACATTTTGTGAAAATTCCGGAGCACGCAATTCGTGAAGCATTAAACGTAGTCCTTGGTATATCATAACACCTTCGACTTAAAGTTTTATTTTCTTTCTTTTTCGTGCTTAAGATTATACCACAGCAATTTGCTTATCGACTTGGATGCCTGTGTGTGCAAGATGTAAGGAATCACCCGCTCCTGATTCATTGCAAACGAGGGAAGGTACTCAATTCTTTTTAACTTATTTGCATTCTCTCACCCAAAATGTTGGGTTCCATCTTCCAACAATACAAGTGTTTTCTTTTTTGATATTGTGCAGCACCGGACAGGCTGCCTTGTTGGATGCTTAAGAAAGTTGCAAAACTGGTGTCTGACCTCAATCTTCGACGAGTACCAGAGGTTTGCAGCTGCAAAAGCTAGAGTTTCAGATCAAAGGTTCATCGAATTGTTTGATATTTCTGGCTTCAAAAACTTGCCAATGTCATTTTCGTGTTCGAAAAGGATAGTGTAGAGTCATTCGCTCCCTGGAGAATGACCTTTCGGTACTTCAGTATGTGAAGTTGATTATTGATGACTGATCAGGTCCAGAAGAATGTGCAATACTCAAAATGCGTGTTCATTTTCATGCAAATCTGTACCTCGCAGTACAAAATACGCGTTGATTCCAACTTTACTTTAAACTTTGTATGATGCATGAATTTGATCTGTCACTAGATTCCCAGTCGAAAATTGGAGGGTTTATTCGTGTTTAGAAGCATGAAAACCAACTGCAGTGCACAAGTTTGAAAAATCGCTAGGCGGTAGGCTAAAAGTAAAAAGAAAAGAACCCACCGCTTAGAGCCGCCTAGGACCGCCTAGCCCCTCCTAGCCCTGCCTGGAGCCGCCTAGGCCGATTTTTTGAACACTCTGAGATTGTCATAAATTCTGGAAAAGAAAAAGATAAAATGAAATGAAATTGAAAAGAATGTGGACGAGAAACAATCGAATCGCCAATCCAAATAATGACGACCGAAACGATGGCTCGGCCTTTTCACTCTACCTCGCTATTCTTCTCAATCCAGGAGACACACAAACTGTCCCTTGTCATGTAAAAGAAGCGAGGCATAAATTAATTCAAACAAAGGAATACAAAACAAAAGAACAAAAGCACAAAACAGAGACCAGCAAACTACAGATCTACAGAGAGGGGCTGAAGAACTCAATTCTTCTAAAGCTGCTGCGTCGTGGGAATTTATATAGAGTCGCCAACCCTAGCCTAGCCCCCTTCGAAATTACCACACAACCCTTATCTTACCATACTTGGATCACAATTGGGCCTGTAATTTTCATTCAGTCCCAATCTCGCACCAACGGGCCCAATCTTCTCGACAATTTATCAGAAAGATGCAGGGATATCTGGATCCCAGTGGCCCCGCTTACCTGATTTGATGAATGTCCAATAGAAGAGTCAAATCCGTTAGAGTCAACGATTCTACCAACATAACAAGGATCGACGGTGGAAGATGATCTAATAAGTAGGGCCCACCTTAGATTATTAAACCCCGACGGAATTCATCCAACTAGTTTAGGGTTTGAAGCCCAAGTGTGCTTCCAGCTATTTAGGGTTTTTATCCTCCCCCACCTGAGTTGCTGAGCGCCTGAACATTTCTAGGATTGGAATTCATCCAATCCACCTCGGCTCTTGAGGCTCCAAAAGCCCATCCTTCCGAATCAAAGCCTTTGCGTAAAAGATTCATGCTTTTTGAGTTTCTTCATTGGTAAGTGCCTCGCTTCTCTTTCCTTTTTCGTTAAATTTCCGTGTAAAATAGTGCAAGCTCTCTGCTTTAATTCTCCTGTGCCTTAATTTTCAATTAGATAGATACGAGCTTTTGTATATACAAGCGAGGTGCGTTTGTGAGCAAGTGGGAGAGAGGGAGAGTATTAAATGGGGAAATCAGGGGGCAGAAAGAAGAAGGGAGCTTCAAACCAAGTTTCTAGTGATGGAAATTCATCTCCAATGGCTAATGGTGGTGTTGATTTAGACTCTTCAATCTTTTTGAAAAGAGCACAAGAGCTCAAAGAAGAAGGGAACAAGAGATTTCAGAGTAAGGACTATGTGGGTGCTCTTGAGCAGTATGATAATGCTCTTAAGCTCACTCCTAAGATTCACCCGGACAGGGCGGTTTTTCATAGCAATAGAGCCGCTTGTTTGATGCAAATGAAGCCTATAGATTATGAAACTGTGGTTGCTGAATGCACCATGGCGCTTCAGGTTCAGCCCCGGTATGTCCGGGCTCTCCTTCGGAGGGCTCGGGCATTTGAGGCGATAGGGAAGTATGAAATGGCAATGCAGGATGTTCAGGTGTTACTGGGGGCTGACCCAAATCACCGGGATGCTTTGGAGATTGCCCAGCGGTTGCGGACAGCACTTGGGCCTCGTCAGGAGGCTCAGCAGGACCTCCAGAGCCGCCCGTCCCCTGCTGCCCTTGGGGCTTCCGCAGTTCGCGGTGCTCCAATTGCTGGGCTGGGGCCTTGTTTACCAGCCCGGCCAGCAGCAAAGAAGGCAGCTGCTTCAGCTGGGGGTTCTGGTTTATCCCAAATTAACAGGCCAGATAAGCCACAAACAGTTCTACCGGCTGAGAATGGACCTGAGCCCAAAACCCAGATGCCAAAACTTGTATTGAAGCCTACAAATGCTTCTTCAAAATCTCCTAATCCAAGTAAGGCTAACCAGAAGGAGCCATCATCAGTTTCATTGTCCATTCATGCGCAGCGTTCTGAGGCTGCCAATCGATGGAGACCATTGAAGCTTGTTTATGATCACGACATAAGGCTTTCCCAAATGCCTGTTAATTGCACTTTCAGAGTGTTAAGGGAAGCTGTAACAAAACGCTTTCCATCATCAAAGTCAGTATTGATCAAGTATAAGGATAATGATGGTGATTTGGTGACTATAACCTCTACAGCTGAACTTAGGTTGGCTGAGTCTTGTGCAGACAGGTTCATTCCAGAAGACCCTGAAATAGATAAAGCTGACTCGATTGGAATGTTGAGATTGCATATTGTGGACGTGACTCCTGAGCAGGAACCACCTTTGTTGGAAGAAGAGGAGGAAAAAGCTGCCGAAAACGAGGGGATCAAGGAAGATGAAAGCAATTCTAATTCATCACTTAGTGAATCTGTTTTGGAAGCTGGTGATTATGAAACTGATAAGGCGGAGAAAGAAGCTCAAAAGGAGAAACCAGGAGCCTCGGAAGATCCTGAGTGCAAGGAATTGGAAATGGATGATTGGTTGTTTGAGTTTTCTCAGCTTTTCCGCAGCCATGTCGGTATTGATCCAGATGCTCACATTGATTTGCATGAGCTTGGAATGGAGCTTTGTTCTGAGGCCCTTGAAGAGGCAGTAACTAGTGAAGAAGCTCAGGGTCTTTTTGACAAGGCTGCCTCAAAGTTCCAGGAGGTGGCTGCATTGGCTTTCTTTAATTGGGGAAATGTTTATATGTGTGCGGCAAGGAAAAGGATTCCCTTAGATGAGTCTGCTGGAAAGGAGGTAGTGGAATCACAGCTTCAAACGGCTTATGACTGGGTCAAGGAAAAATATTCCTTGGCCAGAGAGAAATATGAGGAAGCACTGTCGATCAAGCCAGACTTTTATGAGGGGCTGCTGGCCCTGGGGCAGCAGCAATTTGAAATGGCCAAACTTCATTGGTCATTTGCACTTGCTAAGAAAATAGATCTCTCAAGTTGCGATTCCACAGAAATGCTGAACCTTTTCGACAGTGCAGAGGAGAAGATGAAAGTTGCCACTGAGATGTGGGAGAAGCTGGAGGAGCAGAGAGCGAAGGAACTAAAGGATCCAAGTGCAAGCAAAAGAGAAGAATTGTTGAAAAAAAGAAAAAAACAAGGAAGCGGTAATGAAGGAGAGTCCTCTGGAGCATCTGGTCAGGGTGAGATTTCGGCAGATGAAGCAGCAGAACAGGCAGCTGTTATGAGATCACAGATCCATCTTTTCTGGGGTAACATGCTTTTTGAGCGATCTCAGGTTGAATGCAAATTGGGGCTGGATGGTTGGAAGAAAAACCTGGATGCTGCTGTCGAACGCTTTAAGCTTGCTGGAGCTTCTGAGGCTGACATTTCTTTGGTTCTGAAGAACCATTTCTCCAATGGCGATGGAGTTGAGGGAGATGGGAAAAAGGTTCAGAATTTAGGCAGTGATGTACCTGTTGAAGCCAATAAAGACAATGAGATTTTTTCAGGGAAGCGAGATAATCTATTTTAATGGTGGCTTCCGTGAATAATCTTCAATTTGTGCTTGTTAATCATGATAATAAACTGGAGAGATGAACTGCTTTTGTTTTCTGTACTGAATGGAGGAATGCTGGAATTATTTTTGTTCAGTTCTGAAAGATTGGGTGCCAGAATATGCAGCTGTGTACTCAACAAGATTTTGGGCAATGTTCTTACGGTAAAGATAACATGTTGTAAACATTTTTTTCGCAAGGCTGATGAGTTTCAAGTGTCAACTTTATGTGCGTAGGGTCTTATTTTTAGCTCGCTGCTCCACTTCAGTGCAGTGTGGTTTATAAATGCTAATCTTAATTTTTACGATGCATCTTATTTGAGCTGATTCTTAAATTTGTTACAAATCACCAGAAACCAAATGGATACAAGCTCTTCAAATTTGTTCCCCTCATATTGTTAATTCTTAAATTCTTGTTAGTGTCAGTTTCAGATGTGATTTCATGTCAGTAGAAAAATGAAGAGATTTTCAGGACTTTTCTCCCTTTGGTTGCCAATGCCAATGAGGATGAAATCGATTTTTACTTAAATATTGACCATGATGGGAAGATGCCATTATTTTTAGTGATGGCAAATCAAAATTTGAGGGCTCTGACTGAGCCATACCAAATGGATGGGGTGCTTGAATATATTATCTTGGAGGCTACAAATTACAATAGATAGAATGAGAATCAGCTAATATATTTTTTACAAATTTATAAATAAACCTAATTCTAGACATGTATTTATAAAAAAACTCAAGCACTATTTAAACATAGAAACACACCCAAAATCAACCCCAAAGTCAACTTTTTGGGTGTGTTTATAAATAAGTTTTGAGTGTGTGTAATGATGGGTTTTGGGTGTGTTTATATGTTTAAATAGTGCTTGGGTTTTTTTATAATTTCAACCCCTATTTTGGGTGTTTTAGTGAAACTCCCTATATTTTTTGCATCTCTCAACAATTCAATTCTATATTCAATATAATGAGGATTAATTAACAATCAAACATGGGTCCCTCAAGTTTTTGGCATCTAATCATTTGTATTTATATATTGTTTTCAATTACAGAAACAGTTATGCAGATCAGATATGGTTGGTTACTTTCTATAACAGTATACTTCATCCACATCATAAACACTAAACACCACACCATGGGATGGGAACTACTACTCCCAACTCCCAAGCTAAGCTCATAACTATGAATTCCACCAGGCAAGGAGGAAATAAAACATACAAAATTTAAAATAAAACCCAAACTTCTCCTCCCAACAGCTTTATTTAGAACACCAACTACTACTAGCACACAAAACCACACACCCAATTTTAATTATTTTATTGTCATCCATCGGACAGCTCAGACAGTTGCAACAGGGTCCAAATTAACGGTGGATTCCATGGCCTTCATGGCTTCAAATCTTGGTTCCTTGGCTTGGAATTTGAGGCCAGAATAGAGCTTCATGTAATCATCAAACACAAATTTGGGGTAGGCTGAGATTTTCTCAGTTTCTTTTTCCAGCAATGCTGGTGCTGGGCAGATAAAAGCATCATCACCTGGGTTGTAGAATGAGGCTATGGACAATCTGGTACCATCCGGCTGCGCTATCACACGGTGCATCACACTCTTGTATTTCCCATTAGTGATCACCTATATTAATAATTCAAATCACATTTTAATTAGTAAATTTGAGATTTAAAATAACCATTTTAATGGGAAGAAAGAAAAAAAGTCAAAATTTGAAAGTAGGTTATGGTATTTGTACCTCAAGTTGGTCACCCAAGTTGATGACAATGGAGTGGTGCATTGGAGGAACATCAATCCATTGACCATCCTTGAGGAGCTGGAGGCCGCTGACCTTGTCATCTTGGAAGAGTAGGATGATGCCACCTGCATCGGTGTGGGCCCGGAGGCCCTTGATCAGGTCTGGTTTGGGGCAAGGAGGGTAGTTGCTGACCTTTGTCCCAAAGTTTGGTCCCTTCGATCCATAGAAAGCCTTCTTCAGATAACCCTTCTCCAACCCAAGATTCTCACACAGCAAGTCCAGAAGTTGCTCAGCTAGTTTCTCTAATTCCACTGCAAATTCTTTCATGACCTTCCTGTAATCTTCATCAAGGTCAGGGATTTGGGATATGTTAGAGACAGGAAGGTGGCGCAAGAAGAAGGTGCTTTCCCAGTCCAAGTCATGGATTTCAGACTGGACAGCTTCAAGGCCTTTGCTTGCGACCATTTCCTTAAACCTTTGCTCCATGCACTTTTTGTAGTGCTCCTTTGTCAGCTTCTCCACAGTATCCATCAGCTCATGAGATATCCCATGGTTCACCAACTTCATTAATTAATTTGTACATTGAAAAAAAAGAGTTATTATTAGAAACACATATGATCGTGATATAGAAAGAAAAAACATCATTTGTAATTAACTATAGCTGACTTCTCATCAAAGCTTTAAAAGAAATAAAAAGATCTCAAAGCAGCTTAATCGTTGGTTTACCTCAAAGAAACCCCAATTCTCACAAGCATCATTTATCTTCTCCATGGTAGCTTCTCTCTTTTCACCATTAATTTGGCTCAAGTCAACAACTGGGAAAGCCTCCATTTCTCTCCTTAATTAGTTACTCTCTCTCGCAATCTCTCTCTCCCTTTCTCTCTCGCACACACGCAAACTTAATCCTCTCGATGTAAGTGAGTCTATGTGGCTAGCTCTATTTGGTGAGTGGTGTACTTGTATATGGTGGCAATTTATAGGCGCTAAGGGAGTGGCAGATCTGTGAATACCTAGGATTTCTTAGTTAATAATTTATAAGAAAATTAGTATAATGGAATGTTGGCATATTTTTGTACGTAATACGTAGACTTATATATATATATATATATATATATATATAGAGAGAGAGAGAGAGAGAGAGAGAGAGAGTTTGAAACGAAATTGTTCACGTAAGAAAAGAATACCCTGACTGACCCTGAAGATTAAGAAGAAGAATTTATAAGTATCAACTCAACGCATGGAATTGAAAACATGAAAGTAAATTTAAATGATGAATGTAAATCCAGTTACATTTAAAAATAGAAAATATACAGAAAATGAAATGAAATAAAACAGAATAAAAAGGAACAGAACTCGTGGAGTATGTAAGAAAGCCCGTCCATGGTGGATGGACCCCTACCAACTTTTGTCTCGAAGCTGCGGCCATGATCTATGCTATATATTATGCCCTGTTGGTTGGTTGGATCATCTATCTTTCTTTCCTCTTTTTTGTCTTTTACATGTTTTTTTAGTTTTCTGTTTATTTATTTCTTCCAGTCTTAATTAGACCAACCAAACCAAACCATGCATGCACGCGCCTAATTAAGCTTTTCTATTTGAATTAAAAAAAAAAAAACCCTAATTTCTCAATTATCCCAATTAAACACTAATATAATTTCTCAATTATCATTAAACATAAAGCCTGAAAAAGGGGAAGTGTCCCGCGAGTGCATGAGTGACACGCATGGCCCCAATTCCTTTACTTGAAATGAATGCCTTATTCATTTGCCATGTTTTGTTTCACTTTTTCTTAATAATGACAATTATCGTAAGCAGTAAAAACAAAAGTAAGGCATGCCACAAAAGGTAACATTTCATCATTCATGACATGAACTATAGGGAAGGGAAGCTAGCGCGTTAATTAATATAATTAACAAGCTTTGTTAATGATTAACCAAGGTTTAATCAAAGATTTTAGAGGGCTCTTCTTATGTTTAATGAAAGATATTGATAAACTAATTAGCAACTTAGGGTGGTTGAATTTGGATTAATTTTCCTTCTTCCATGTTAATTACCACCAAACAGCTTCAAGCAAAGAGAAATCTATGGGCTTTTTTATTTGTTGAGGTGACAAAACCTGGACCTGACCAACTTTCAAGCATCTTGACATCTGACCAAAGAAATCTCTGCTCTCAACTTTCGGTCTTTCGGTCTTCAGTCACATGCTGATGTCGCTTAGTCAAATTCTAAATCTGCCTATTCACTCTTTTGTTGGATTTAACCCCATCTCGTAAATCTGTCGCTGCCATTAACGACCAGAAGTTGGAAGAAGAAAAAACACATGTAGAAAAATAGCATCTAAATTCCCAGTTCGAGTTATATGGCCCAACAAGTACAACTCCGTGACGACTAACTTTGATTATAAATTTGACTGATTCGTAGGTTATTAAGGAAAATGAAATCATCTTATTAGAAATCTGTTCTGAAAGTTTCGATCTAATCAGTTTTAGTCGTTTAGTTCAAATATGTACGTACTTGTGCTAAATTCACACACAAGCTAGGCTACGTATAAAAATGTATAGTGGTCAAACAAGTTATTCGGCTAAGAATATCCCAGCATTCTCGATAAGGGAGAGCAAACCAAAAGCATATAAAACTGGAACATGATCTATCATGTGTCCCTCTTACTCGATCGCTTTGTTTGTTTTTGGATCAAGTTCCAAATTCCATGTATTTTCTATTGGTGGGTTTTCGGTATTGTTTTATAATCTTCAAATAATGCAATTCCTTTTGCTTGTTAAATCTAGAATGTAGAGTCATGCATGCATCACTTGACAATTGAGAGTATGAATTCCACGTCGGGCATAATAATCTTAAACCCAAAGAGCATAAGCGCTTTCTTTTCTTTTCTTTTCGATCTTTATTACTTTCACCTAGCAAATACCAATAACCATGAACAGTTACTGCTGGTTCATTTTCATTACAAGAAATCATTGAGAAAAATGAAGCTGAGTTGGTCGGAGAACCTCCGTACCAGACAATCACATTACATAATATTATTGACATATGATATGGGGTAAATAAAGAACAATTAATCTCTTTTTTCCAGGACTTATATATTATATCTATATCTGCCAAAGCCTCCCCAGTTTGGCTCTATATGCATACTACTACTGCCCTAGCTACAACTTTTTTTTTCTTTTTTTCTGAGCCAACAGCAGCCATGGCTACTCTGCCACACAGAGAGAGAGTTATTGGCCCAATTGTTGAGAGTGTTTGTCCCATATTAAAATGTTAAGGGACCTAGCCTGGGTTTATAAGGAGTTGGGCTACTCCCCTCATTGCCAATTGGTTTTGAGGTGGAACCTCAACTTCCTTCATGGTATCAGAGCAAGGCTTCACGTGTTGGGCCCAACGGCCACATGTGCTCCCACGTCACCCAATATGTATTGTGCACGTGTTAGGCTTGAAAGTTCGCCACACGTGTGGGGGCGTGTTGAGAGTGTTTGTCCCACATTGAAATGTTAAGGTACCTAGCCTGGGTTTATAAGGAGTTGGGCTACTCTCCTCATTGCCAATTAGTTTTGAGGTGGAACCTCAACTTCCTTAACCAATAGCTTAGATTTCATCCATTTGAAAGTGAAATCTCTTACAGTAGTGTAGTACTTTAAGGCCAAAGAGAAGAGAATATAACTTATAAAAGATGGCATTGCCAAGAAGAAGCACTATAGTCTTGAGAATAATTACTTGATTAGAATAATTGGATCGGCTCGATTAGACGAATAGGATTCCTTACCTTTCAGATGGAAAATGAATTTGGTCTTTTGCACTCAGCAAGTGCCTTAAATAAAACAAGAATTGACATTTATTATGCGAACATCATATCCCCGGCAATGGCAGTGGCAGTGGCTGGTTGTTCTAAACCTAAGATTGAACGAGATTACGTACCATGATCTCCCATCAACTCTTTAATTGATTACGTAATTGGGTTGTGTAGATTCGAATATAATTTGTAATTAGTGTTGATTAGCCAGACTACTAACCTATTTTAACCACTAATCCTGATCGAGAGAAGGCCACTAAAAGTAGATTTATTCTTTCCATGAAATGAAAGGAGAGAGAAGCTGCCCAAATGGCGAATGAAATTAACCTTTCCCCCCTCCCCCTCTATAGCCTTAGCCTAGCCCTGCACTCAACAAATTCTCTCTCAGGTCAAGCATGGTGGCAACATGTTATTATTTTGGATCCTGTGTATATATTTGTTTATATGGACCCCGCGTGTTGAATCAAATGTCAATCAACGGTCCAAAACTTATGATTGTTAGTCTTTGATCTCTGATGTGAGCTATCTGTTCTATATATCAATCAATCATATAAATACGAATGAATGATCTAAAGTGGACCCTCAGTGGGATGTTTTTCTTCCTTGATCGTGCAATTGACCAGTTTGGTAGTAGCTATATAGCTCTTTCTTTCGGTCATGTGATTGAGTTGAGATGAGAGAGATGAATTGGATAAGTCATAGAGGGGGGTCCATCCAGATCCAGCATGCATGTGTATGGGGGCGACTAGATTTCATGATATCGAAGCTTGTGAATTTGCTTTTGATATTTAATAGGCTCTACATCATCTGCAGCTTCCCTTCTTGTAACATGTGACCTGTTTTGTGAGTCTGTCACTGGATTGAAGAATAAATTATATATTTATGAGAATCTTTAGTGTAGTGGGAACCAGGAGCGTCCATGGATATAAAATGAAGCGATGAAACCTTAAAATATGAAAGAAGCAGGCAATCTTTAACTCTATATGGGCAAGACTAGAAGGTAAATAGTCAATATTATTTATATTATAATAAAAATGAAAAGGCAAGCGAGAGACCATTGGAATCAATAATTTAGTTAATTGACAAAAAGACAAATCGTGAATAAGTTCGTGACTATTTGAGTCAAAAACCCTATACATTTTAGCAGGTATAGATGCCAAAGCGTCTCCATCATGCCAAAGCTGAAAAAGCTCAGAGTTGATCAACGTCAATGAAGTGAAAGGGGGCGGTACATTTTTGTCACACTGCTAAATTGAAGCAGGAAAAATATGCCACATAATTGGAACCAATTGAAGAAGAAGCTTTTTCTCAAAAGTGGAAGGAATTTTTATGCAAATTTTAATGGAATTGTGTCTTGGATTGGACCTGAAAGAAACTCTTCCTTGAAACACATATTCTGCACTTTTATAAAAAAAAAAGACATGTGGAGTGGATGTGCACTGCGCGTAAAAATAAAACATGTTCATGCATTTCAAACGATCACCAACTCTCATCACCTCATCAGGTTCAGGTCAGAGAGATTCATATCCTGCACTTCAAATCAGATCACTACTTATTTATGCATGAAATGAATATGATGCTCTCACTTTCATCAATCCTATTCCTAAATGTATATATATATTGCACACCCTCGTTGATCATAATTAAGTTGTTTTTTATTTCCTAATGCACGATTGGCTCATTCTTATGCTTTTACACGATTCTCCCACTTTCAATCACTGCACACAAAAGCAAGCAGAATATGAGAATATATATATAAGTCAATAAACAAGGAATTAATGCACCAACAAATTAACAATGACGATATAAAAAGGCATCTTACTTTGATGAGTACGTAATTAAAAAAAAAAAAAGAATCTGTAAGCATTGGCGGATTTAGGAATTTTTTAGGGGAAGTACAATATTTGAAGGTCTAAAAATTCGCAAAGGACTCAAGCAAGATCCTGGGTTCAAGTACTAACATCCGTGTAGTGTGTAAAAAAAAAAGGCTAAAAATTCAAAAAACAATTTAGACAACCAAATGCCCTTAGAATTTGAACAAAACTAATGTAATTCATAATTAAAACAATAAGAGTTTTACATATATAACTAATTGATTATAGTCTATATGGAATATCAATTAATATGAGCAAAATCCTTGTCACACAATTAGTTTACCAAAATTCATATCAAATATGAACAAAATCCATGTCAATTACATAATTAATTTAATAAAAGTCAATACCAATTAATCTAACCAAAATCAATGCCAATTAATCTAACCAAAAACACATGTGATTTAGAGGTCACGAGATAAAACTACACGTGATTAAAAGTTCGGGGTAATTTTCGGTGAATTTTTCGAAACACATATGAGTTTTTAATGAATTTTTTAAGTTAGACCAATTATAAATAGACATATTTCAGCTTGCTATTGGACCATTTAAAAAAAATCAAAATGAGAAGCACAGACGTGGAGTCTTCTTCTTGCTCGAACTGTGGCTCTGCAACTTAACTTCACATATTCTATAATTAATAAAAGTCAATACCAATTAATCTAACCAAAATCAATGCCAATTAATCTAACCAAAAACACATGTGATTTAGAGGTCACGAGATAAAACTACACGTGATTAAAAGTTCGGGGTAATTTTCGGTGAATTTTTCGAAACACATATGAGTTTTTAATGAATTTTTTAAGTTAGACCAATTATAAATAGACATATTTCAGCTTGCTATTGGACCATTTAAAAAAAATCAAAATGAGAAGCACAGACGTGGAGTCTTCTTCTTGCTCGAACTGTGGCTCTGCAACTTAACTTCACATATTCTATAAAAACTTCGAAAATTCATAACTTTGGTTGTGGAGCTCTGATTGATGAACCGTTTTTTCCTACATGTTCGTGAGATCGAGCCCAACAATCTAAGGTAAATATTCAGGGTCTCACTTAGCAAATGAGCAAATTCTGGCATCCCAAAGGAAGCTTTTGGCGAGGGAAGGTGTAGCTGCACCTCTTTGCGCCTCTGTGGATCCGCCAATGTCTGCAAGAGGATTGTATTTCAAATGATTAAGAGCAAATAGCCATGCACCGAAGGTCTTATATTCGAATCCCTATCACTCAAGTATAGCTTGTTTCCAAAAAAGAAAAAGAACCTTAGGTTTGCTAGTTCAGGACCAGGCCCAACTTCATTTTAATTTTGGGTCACCAACTTCATCAATAAGTAACATAGCCTGCTATCAAGTGAGTCCAATGGTGAAGAGTGCTGTGCTTATAGCTGATTGTCATCAGCCCATATATTTGTTAAAAGCCCACAAAATTAAGTTGATGGTAGGTTTGATCCAACCCAACCTCCAAAGCACTTTGATTTTGTCATGCATATGTTCCTGAAGATTGCACAGGACGTATGAATGATTTGATACGTACTATGAGGCCCAACCCAAGCACCAAATTCTTGGCATGCTGCATGGATATTCTAACAACATTTGCTAAGAAACCAAACATTACTTTGAAAAAAACAATCACAAAATCGTTGCAGCTTCATTGTACTTTTGCAGGTTGCATAACGAAGAAAAAAATAGAGTAAAAACAATTACATTTGAACAATTCAATTGAATTTGTCTGCGATTGAAAACTCCGCCATCAAGACTTGAACAATCACACGAATGTCGAGGCATCTCCCAATCGCATCAATGTAGTTCCTCTTTTAGTATTGTTGATCATCAAACCATCTTAGAATATATCGAGGATCTCGAGGATCGAACGGTTGCAGAGGGGACAAGACCCTCGATTCAACCACACCTCCCTCGAACACACTCTGCAAAAGGTGTGCCCACATGGGATGAAAGCTGCACCTTTCTTCCTGCTCATGCACACGCAGCACACCGTATCATTGCCCAGCCCTCCCTCTGCTTTGTCGCTCTCTGCCGTCGCACCACCGAACGCATCACAGCCGTCCACTTCCGTTTCCTCCAGCAATCTCATCAACGACACTCTCGTTGGCGTGCCAGGTGCCGTTGCTACTGCACTTCCGACATCCGCGGGCCCCACCACCGACCCTCCTCCGTCCGATTCTTGCGGTGCCCGAAACTGACGCTCGGCTGCTAAGGCGGCAGCCAAGTTCATGCCCGACCCGGTCGAAATCGGACCCATGCAATCCGGATCCCAATTGTTGACCGGTTGAGCCTGGCCCACCACACTTACAACTCGTTGTTGTGGTGGTAGTGGTAGATGATGGTTTTGTGGTTCTTGGTCGTCCTCATCGCCATCTCTTACGCTTATCGCCGCCGTTCGTCCAAAAACCCAGGCGGCCCCACAGCAGCCAAACCCATTCAATCTGAGCCGTTGCTTGAAGGTCCTCCTCCCGCCTCTCGCTCCATCCGTATCGTCCATTTGTTCCCTCAGAATTTCAAGAACAGTTCTTGCTTCCCTCTCTCGACGCACCGTTTCCTGCAATATCACACTGAGTTGACTCATTCTTCAACACCCACCAAACCCAAAAGAAGAAAACAGAGAAACACAGAGATACAGCAGAGAAAGAGAATTGTTGTAAGGATGAGATGAAAAAGACGTACAGGTCTGGATTAAAGAGAGGGCTCTGTCCATGGAAAACCCGTGAGTATCTTCAAGAAGGAGAAAAGTAGTTAGCCCAGCACCAATCTCGCTGATCAAATAGGAGAAGCCGACAGTGACCAAACGTCATAAGCAAAAATCTGGGCCAATATCATTAACAAAAAAGCAAGATCGGATGATTGGGTTTTGGAGGACGCTCTGGGTTTGTGAATTGTTAGCTGATGCCCAACTCTTTCGTTGAAAAAGAGGGATTTTGGAGTTGAAAAAAGGGAAAAGAGACAAAATAGAAGAAGAAGGAAAGCAAACAAAAGGAACTACTTTACAGGGTTTCTGTGTTCTCTCTTGGGCTGGGAGCAACTCAAGAACTAGTTTTTTTGTGTTGGGTGTATTGGTGGGAATTCAATTATAAAAATCAAAATTTTATTTTGAACAGAGAAATTGGTTGGTTTTGTATTTGATTTCAGGTAGCTTGGGCTGGTGTTCTTTGTACGCTGGCTGGCTGGTCGCCGGCTAGAATAAAGTCAAAAGCCCTGGAAGCCGGTCGCTGGCTGATCGATGCTCTGCCAAGTGGCACTACCCTCCAACGCTTGAGTTTTGTTTGTTTATTTAATATACGACAATTATATTTTATTTTCATGGATGTGCTCTTATATAGATTTGTTAATCTTGTATAAAAGCAGTCCCAAACAATCGAATGCTCCAAAACTATAACTTCAACGCCAATGGTTCAATTGGTATGAAAATCCCTAGTGCTTTTGTTTTTTTAGAGAGAAAATCCTTAGGTGCTTAAAATGTTTTTTTTTATATACCAGATTTATTCTTCCGTTACTTTTCCTTTGCCTAAAGCATATCCTCTATTTATGGTCCTTGGATCATTCCTATATTCGGCTCTCGCTCAGAATGCATGTTAAAGATAGGAAAATGGGGAGCTGAATTTCTAACATTACTAGCTCTCGCTCATCGCCGACATTTTTCTAGCACGACGTCGATGTAGAAAATGAACACACAGATAATCACAAGGGCAAAATGAGGTCAACCCCGAGCTCATTTATTTGTAAAATTGGTAGGCGACTTTATGCGAGGTTGGTGTGAGTTCAATCATTATTGGGTATGTATGCGCCATGATGCAACTGAAAAAAGTTTGTCCCTCCACAAATAAAAGGGCATGGCATTGATTGCGCAAAAAAGAGAAAGAGGAATATATGCCATTCCGAGTGAGCGAGCGAGTGAGAGAGCGAGCAACTTAGCAACACAAAGCATATCTGATTAGCGAATAGAGTGAGTGATGCTGGATCAATCAATCAACTGCTTCAAAAGGAAGAAAATCATTGAAAAGCCTAAAGCCTAACCTAATTATGTATTGTGATTAATAATTTAATAACGTGAATTCGCAACCTAGAGTGGTCCCTCTCGTGGGTTATCATCTAATTTAATAATAGTTTATACCCATTTTACAGGTTTCTTATTCTAACGGGTTTATGGTCAATATTCGGCTCGGCTGGCAGCGGCAGGCAAGCATATAATTGCAAATATTCATCTCCATATAAGTCATCAATGATTGTCTAAGTCCTCAATATCGCGTAAACAATTCTACACAAAATTATTTTTATAGTTGCCATTGGTACCATTGCATACATGGAGCTCAAGCGATGACGACGTCTTTTGATATTAGACACAACCCTAACTCAAACCTGGACTGGACCTGCAAATTTCTTTTACTTATTTCCTTCACAATTACAGCCCGCCCAAGCTTGAAGCTTCCTCCTTCACCCTTTTCCCCAAGCCCCAAACCCCACTTGCAAGGCCCAACCCAACCCAAATTTCAATTTAAACGCTTGAGCTGTTGAGCAATACTTGCAAATCTAAAACACACCCAACGGCACAATGTAAAAGAGGCCAGAAACACTTTGCATGAAAAGTTCTGTCATGCGTGATAATTTTTTAATATGGTAGTTTGGAATTGGTTGGGTATAACAAAATAATGTTATTCATGTTTCATACAAGTTTATGAATTGAAAGGTATAATAAGCAACAAGATATAGTCCAATGAAAAAAAGCGTAAACTGATGGTATCATGTTCAAATCGTCATGACATTAGTGTGCGTGAGAAAAACCTTATCTCCTAATAAACAAGAACAACAATTAATAAGCATGAAAATATTTGAGCCAAATCAATCACTCATTCATTTCGCACGTAGTTGTAGATGAAAGTGACCAAACAGGATAATAGAGTCGGGAAGCCAATAAAATAGCCTTTTGCCAAAATCATATAAGGGTCCTCCTCCTCTCCGGCTCCACCTCTTCCCCTATCTTCTCCTCATGTGATTTGTCTTTTCATTACGCGCAATCGACGTGTCATAAAATTTATAGCTGTGGACAGCATCCGTGTCTACTTCTCCCACATGATTTAGAGACCGCGAGTCCCATTTTACCCTCACCACCAAAGCACATAAGAACAAACTAATTAGGGACATAAGTGTCCTTTTAAACACCATTTGCCAGGCATGACAAGGCAACAGTACCAAAACTACCAGAAAGCCTGCAACTCCCTCCCAATTTCGAGCCCTTTCGCTGCTGCTTAAATTTGCTCAACCCAGAAAAGCCAGAACCACTTTCTCTACTCTCTCTCTCTCTGTAATTCAAGAAAAGAAAAAGACGAAAATGGCCTTCGCTTCGCAGCTAAACCAATTCCCCTGCAAGATGCTATCGCTAAACCCAGCGCACCACCGTCTCGCCTCCAAGCCCTTCTCCCTCTTGTTCGCGCCAAACTCTATCGTGCTCGCCGCCAAATTCAACAACCAATTGAAATTCTCCACCCATGAGTTCGTCGGGACCCGACCTGCTACCCGGCTCCGGGTGGTGGACGAGGACGAATGGGGCCCCGAGAAGGAGACCGAGTCGGCTGTGGCTGTGGCTGAGGATGACAAGCCGGCTGAGCCCGAGCCAGCCGAAACCAGTAGGCTGAAGAAGGCTCTGGTAGACTCGTTTTACGGAACTGATCGTGGACTGAGCGCCACCAGCGAGACCCGGGCCGAGATTGTGGAGCTTATTACTCAGTTGGAGGCCCAAAACCCGACCCCGGCTCCGACCGAGGCCTTGCCTCTGCTCAATGGCAAATGGATTCTAGCGTACGTAATTAGTCCCATCCATTCATCCCCTTTCACCTAAAACCCTAATTTGACTTTTAATTCGCAGACTGAGTGTTGAAGACAATTGTTTTGCAGGTACACTTCGTTTGCAGGTCTGTTTCCATTGTTGTCCAGAGGAACTCCATTGGTGAAGGTGGAGGAGGTTTCGCAGACGATTGACTCTCAGAATTTCACCGTACAAAATTCTGTTCAGTTTGCTGGGCCATTAGCTACCACTTCTATTACCACTAACGCCACATTTGAAGTTCGAAGCCCAAAGCGCGTCCAGGTATGGTCAATTCATTTCCCTTTTCTTTGCTTCCGTTAGTGTTTGCATAAATATGATTGGAGTTACTTTCTACACAAAACCAAATCAGATTAATTAATTGTGTGTCCTAGTGTTTATGTCACTCTGGAAAGCTAGCTCATTCAAAAAACAAATATGATTTAGGGTTCTTTGGCACATTGGAAACTGAATTTAAATGAGTTTTTGTTTTTGTTTTTTTGTTTCCCCGTTAATTTGTTGATTCAGATTAAGTTTGAAGAAGGCGTAATTGGGACTCCCCAGCTGACAGACTCACTAGTGATACCAGAAAATGTTGAGTTTCTAGGACAAAAACTTGACCTCACAGTCTTCAAAAGTTTGCTCACCTCTGTTCAAGACACTGCTTCATCTGTTGCAAAGACCATATCCAGCCAACCCCCGTTTAAGTTTTCCATCTCAAACAGCAAAGCTGAATCATGGTTGCTAACCACATACCTTGATCCTGAGCTTCGGATTTCAAGGGGAGACAACGGCAGCGTGTTCGTGCTGATCAAGGAAGGCAGCTCCCTCTTGACCCCCTGATCAAACTCACACACAATGTACTTGTTCAAGGATAGGGGGATGTAATTTTCTACAATGAATGATATGAATAATTTAATCACTGGGTTGTACGTATAGTATACACACTCTTTGGTGACAGAACATATCTTGAGGAAAAATGTTGTGCATTAAACTTGAGTTGTCAAGGATAAACAAACATGGCTCCCCTGTTTCAGTGAAAAATTGAAGTTTGGTCTAAATTTATGCATTTCTTGAGCAGAGGGATTGCACAGCCAGATACGGATAAAACAAGGGATTTGAATAACGTAACAATAGTAAGAAGGAACAACATCAACAGCCATGGCAACCCCATTTAATTTGTAAACCCACAAGTTAGATGCGGCTTTCTTAATTTCATTAGCCCTTAGGAATCATGTGGTGCAGGCAGAAACAACAATCTTCAGCTAAGTAACCTTTCTTTTTTCTTCTCTCTCTCTCTCTCTCTCTCTCTCTCTCTCTCTCTCGGAAAGAGCATATATAGTAACTTTAGATATTCGTTTTATGCTTTATATTTTCCAACTTTGCTAATTTATTAAGCAAAGTATTGTAGATCAAAGTCTACAGTCTTAAACAAATGAACTAAGCAAAGGCAGATCTCTGTACTGTACGGATCCTGTATACAGCTAGTAACCTTCAATATTCGTTAATGCTTATATTTTTCAACTTGGTTAATTTATTAAGCAAAGTATTTTATATCAAAGTTTAACACGAAGCAAAAACCACCACACAGAGCAGGAACAAGTAGAGATGGACGACTCAGAGATAGAGCACGAAGAGATGGCGTACTGGAAAACGGACGAGGTTCTTCTTAAAGACAAGGGAGAGAGTGCAAGTAAAATTGAAGAAATGAAACTTCCTTACGATCTAGCCATGGAGAATGACTGGGAAGGGATGAAGAGATACTACGTGGACAATCCGCAAAAACTGAATTCTCCAATGACAGTGGACGAAGACACTGCATTGCACATCGTAGCTTCCTGCTGCAGGAGAAAATCACAGGGCAAACAAGTGCTTGAATTCTTGATTAATTTATTGCCACCAAGCTATTATGAAAGATGCAAGGCCGTGAGGGTTCCAAATAAACTCGGCAACAACGTTCTTCACGAGGTGGCGATGTCCGGCAATTTGGAGGCAGCAACTTTCTTAGTGAAAAACTTCAACAAACCCGCGGGAAAAACTAGTAACGAGGAGAATTCTACACTGCCTCTGCTAGATATTCGGAACGAATTAGGAGAATCACCATTGTACAGGGCTGCTGCTCTTGGTCACCCTGACCTGGTCCAGTTTTTTGCTGACGAACTGGAGGAGAATCCGGAGAATCTTCGGAGGCACTTCCACCGAAATGATAGAATGTCCATTCTTCATATTGCAGTCATTGGCCAACAATTTAGTCTCTCTCTCTCTCTCTCTCTCTCTCTCTATATATATATATATGTATAATGTATGCAGTGCACATTAATTTATACAACTGTTCTTTTGGCATCCAATATGCAGGGACTGCTCTTTGGTTGCAGAGCAAGTACCCATTTCTTGCAACTAAGAGGGAAGGTAAAGGATTGACAAGCCTTCAATTGCTAGCCCAAATGCCAACTGCCTTCACACCACAATTTCAACAAAGTAGATGGAAGATGCTCATATATTATTGTATGATGGTTAAGCCTTGCAGTTTAATTACAGCACGTCAGTTAACAGATGCTCAAGTTTTATGACATTGACATGCATATTAATTCTTGTTATACATGCTGCTGCAGGCCTTCCTGCTCGAGACCTGGAGGTCACAGCAAATCCCAAGGATGATGTGGAGAGCAGCTTGGGCAGCAACCAACCCCACCAAGCCATCTCTTGGAAGAAGCCTGAAGGTAATCAAAATAATTTGTGATCTAAGTAATTGTTAACCAGATTTTTTGAACTAATATTTATATATTATACATACAAGTTTAATATAGCTAGGATCCTGATGAAGATGCATGCATAACATTGCAGGTATTCTGAAGATGTACACTTCCCTGTGGGACTTCCTTGCTAAAGGTTGCTTAGTTTCTGGCTTTTATATACCATACGATGCATGCATGCTTGCTTATTTCATTTATCTTTCATTATTCTCTTATACAATAACTAATCGTGTATAAGCTTGACCATGATGGATAGAAATGGACATAATCGAAAAGATCTGGAAGGACAAGAGAATTAAACATGCTCTTAAAAAACTCATCCCTTTGCTCGTCGAGAAAGAGAATTCGTGGCAGAATTCTAAAGAAGCAAAAGGCAAGACGATTTCTCTGGGGTCAGTGGAAAATCTTTGTAAGGGTGATAATGATGGAGGAGATAAAAATGGAAAGGATTCCGCAGAACCAACCAATTCTAAGAAGCAAAGCATTTATAAGTATAACCCATTGCTTATAGCAACTATCACTGGAATTGTGCCTATTGTTGCAGAGATGCTTAGGCAGCATCCTCAAGCAGCTGAGCACGTTAGCGATAGTGAACAGAACATTTTGCATCTGGCCATTAAGCACCGTCAAAAAGAGATCCTTGAGCTTCTAAAAAGGAAGCCAATAACCATCTCAAGGTTGAATGAGATGATTGACAGTGACGGCAACACCATATTGCACCAAGCTGCAGATAGGAGCTACTACTCTGTAGCAATTTCTCAGAATTTAATTGGTCCAGCCATGCAATTGCAAACAGAGTTGCGTTGGATGATGGTGAGATCCCTTTTATATTCACATTTACTTAATTATACATTTCTTCTCTGAACAAGAAGAAAGACTGACAATAGATAACATGTCAATAGCAAAATTTTCATGCTAAGCTAACTAATTGGCCATTGTGAGGTTTCTTAACTTTCCAATGTGGAACATTCTTCACATTCTCACAACTTACTAGTCCGTCGGTCAACTTGATAGCTGTGTGTGTTCTTTGTCCAGGGTGTGAAAAACATAGTACCACCTCATTACATCATGCACCACAACAACAAGGATCAGACAGCGGAGGAGCTGTTCAATGATGAGCATAATGAGCTTCTGAAGTCAGCACAAGAATGGATAAAAGACACAGCTGAGTCGTGCTCAACTGTGGCGGTGTTGGTGTGCACTGTGGTCTTTGCAGCCGCCTACACCATGCCTGGGGGTAACGATCCAAATGGCCTTCCCGTTTTCCATGATTCTCCTCTCTTCTGGCTCTTCACCTGCATGGATGTCGTGGCCATCGCCTGCTCATTGTCTTCGGTAGCCTTTTTCCTCTCTATCCTGTCCTCTCCCCTTGAGTATCCGTTTTTCTGTCACGTTCTTCCCCGCAAGCTCATGATCGGGTTCACCTTGCTCTTCTTGTCAATGGCAACCACCATGCTCGCCTTTGCTGCTACCATTTTGCTTGTGATTCGTATCGAGAAGAAATGGACTAAGTCTCTGCTTTACACTATTGCCTTTTTTCCTGTCCCTCTATTTGGCTTGCTGCAATTTCCTATGTACCAGTCTTTCAAAGAAATATATCATAAAATTACCAAGATTTTCCGCCCCTTCTTCGTTCCCTTTCTTGGCTTTTCCAAGAGGAGATCAATATGTGGTAAGAGCAAGGCGAACTGAATCACAAAACTAGAGTGAAGCAGTACTATTTGATGATTTGTACAATATTAGTGCGTCTTCAATCTTCATTCGCAATTAATATGGACAATAAGAAGAATATTGAAGGGCCTTGTCATTAATTGTATGCTAATAAAGATTCAGTATCATGCTTTTGTTTGATTTTCAATTATGATTTGGGTTTATTATATACAAATTTGTATCTGCTCTGGTTAAGGTGTCTAATGTTTATTTTGCATATAAGACTTGCTTCTGTGTCTTTAAATTTGGTGCTTTTTCCTGCTTGGGAAAAGATTAAACGCTGTTAAATGTTATTAACCACTTGCGTCACCCATAAACACATATTACCATGAAAATCGGCTCATGAATGAAGTTACATAAGGACAACTACAATGGCAAATTTTTCAGTATCATCCCATAATCCTCCTTTCATTTGTATGCTCAAATAATTGGCACTGTTTCATCAATTAATGGAATTTACATAAGAATAAATCATAATAAACTTGATGAAACTCCTCCGTATATATACCATTTTCATACACTGGCATGGAATGTTTTCAGTTGGAGAAAACTTGAGTTCTCACTTGGGCCAGGTTCTCAGGGACAAATAAATATACACCCCATTTGAAGTTCGAAGCCCCAAGCGCGTCCAGGTTTGGTCAATTCATTCCCTTTTCTTTGCTTCCATTAGTGTTTGCATAAATAAGATTTTAGGTTTGATTCTTCCTCTACTAATATGGCTTGTAAAAATAAATAAAAATATAAGTCCGGTTACTTTCTGCAGAAACCAAATCAAGGGAGACAACCCCCGTTTAAGTTTTTCCGTCTCAAACAGCAAAGCTGAGTCATGGTTGCTAACCGCATACCTTGATCCCGAGCTTCGGATTTCAAGGGAGACAATGGCAGTGTGTTCGTGCTCATCAAGGAAGGTAGCTCCGTCTTGACTCCCTGATCAAACTCACACACAGAGTAAGTTTTTATTGTGTGTTATGTACTTCTTCAAGGATAGGGGGATGCAATTTTCTATAATGAATTATATGAATACTTCAATCACTGGATTGTACGTATAGTATACATTCTTTGGCGACAGAACATTTCTTAACTTAAATCATGTGATGCACGCAGAATCAACAATCTTAAGCTAATTAACTAAGCAAAGGCAGATACTTGTACGGATCAAGCATAGTGATAGTAACCTTTCTTTTTTTTCTCATTTTTTTTTAACTTTCGGAAAGAGCATGTACAAATAGTAACTTTAGATATTCGTTTTATGCTTTATATTTTCCAACTTTGCTAATTTATCAAGCAAAGTATTGTATCAAAAAAAGGCAGATCCCTGTACTGTACGGATCCTGTAAACAGCTAGTAACCTTCAATATTCGTTTATGCTTTATATTTTTCAACTCAGTTAATTTATCAAGCAAAGTATTATATATCAAATTTTAACAGTAGCACATAAGAATTTCGTGTACATGAAGGAGCAGCTAGGCTAGGTATAAAACGAAGCAAAAACTACCACACACAGAGCAAGAGCAAGT